TCTATGCAGCATACCTGGAACTAATATAATATTGAATGTCAACTATAATTGACACTTCTAAAATGCTTTTTAAATGAAAGTCTTGCCTTTTCATTGTAAAAGGGATCAAGGAAATAAATGTTGCAGTTGCTTGTAAAGCATCTTGGAAAGGATACACGAGGTGCTGGTAACAATGGTTACCTCTGGAGGGAGCCAGATGGAAGGCAGACATGGGTAAGAGGGAGATTTGATTGTATAACCTTTTTTTGTACTTTTGATTGTGACTATGTGAATCATTATCTACCATGCAAGTTTTAAAAAATAAAACATTAATCCTCATTGCAAAAAAAAGAAAAAAATACAGAAATGCATAGAGTAGATAAATTGAACTTTAAAGTTAATACCCAGAGATAACACTGTTAACACTTTTGCTCTATTTCTTCCAGACCTTTACCTATGAATGTATAGATGTACGTGCAGACATATTTTTACCAAAATGGGACGATGCTGCATGGTGCTGTTTTGTCAACTGTGTTTCTCATGCGGAGTGTATTAAGGACAACCTTCTGTGCAGCCTCCTGCTGCAGGGTTACCAGTCACGTGAAGTTGGCCAGTTTGCAAAAGGCTATTTCTGGATGGACTGAGAGTATCCAGCATGTGGGACATGCAGTGCTAGCTGACACCGATCTCCAACCACCCCAAGTCTGGGCTTTTAATGTCATTTTTAACTTTTATTTTTTAGGCCTCACTGGAGGATATGTTTTTATTGATTTGAGAGAGAGAGAGAGGGAGAGAGAAACATCAGTATGAGAGAGAAGCATTGAGCGGTTGCCTTCAGTACATGCTCCAACTGGGGATCGAACCTGCAACCGAGGAATGTGCCCTAACCAGGAATCCAACCAGCAACTTTTTGGTGTATGGGGACGATGCTCCAACCAAATGAGCCACTCGACCAGGGCAAATCTGGGCTTTTTAATTTGTTGCGTAAAGACCTTGACCAAGCAGGATCGTGGGGAGAGAACATCTGGGAATGGAATTAACTTTCCTCCTGTCCGTGATGTTTAACCTACGCCACTTTTTCCACAGCGACAAATACCTCCTAGTCTGATTCCATTCCTAGCTACCCCCTCCCCTCAGCTTTCACATTCACCACTACCCAGACAATGCCATTGGAAGTAGAGGGTTTTGGTGAGAAGAACCAGTCGGCATGTCCAAAGACCTGGGCTCCCATCTGGGCTCTGCCACATGCTGTGAGGTCTTTGACAAGTCACTTCCCTCTGTAGGAGTAATATTCCCCAGGCCGCCTATTTACAGTGTTGTTGTATTGGAAGGCTCAGGTGAAATTGTGGTTGTGGAAGTAGTATTAAACTATAGAGCACTGTGTACCTATGTTTGTATTGTTAAATTCCGCCCATTTAGCCTGAAGTGTCAGGAAGAAAAGATAGACATCAAAACAAATGGGTCTAGCTTCTTTCTAATGTTGGCTCCTGAAGCTAACACTTCATCTTCAGCATCTGTGTGTTCATCTTTAAAGAGTGTTGGCAAAGAGCAATTGAAACTGCTAACTCTCCTGCACAGTGGGTGGAATATGAAGTGGAACAACCTTTTTTGGAAAAGAGGTGGTATCTGCTAAAGCTAATAATGCGTTACACGATAGCCCAGAGTGGCCTCCGCTAATTAAATAATGAACACAAATGCAGGCATGTCTACCAAATGACACATTATTAGAATGTTCACAGCAGCACTGTTTGTTAGAGCCCCAAACCAGAAGGTAGCCCCTCAGTAGCGAAACGGATAAATTACAATATTGTCCCACATTAGAATACTATGCAGCAACGGGAAGGAATAATATTCCACTGTGCCCAACAGTATGCACCAATCTCACAAGCATGTTGATCCAAAGAAGCCTGACCAAGGTCATATGCTTGTTTCACTTGAATCTATTCCTGCGTAACAAGCTACCCGAAAACGCAGTGTCTCAAAACAATGTTTTATTATTTTTCATGATTGTGTGGAATAGCTGTGGTTTTTCTGATGTCATGTAAATTTGGCTGCAGATTTCGTGGGGTTGGAGGGTCCGAGGTGACCTCATTCCCGTATCTGGTGGCGCTTGGTTCTCCTCCACGTGGCCTCGGCCACCTTCCTGACGGATCTGAGAGCAGCGCTCCGAGAGGCTGAAAGTGAAGCTGCAAGGCTTCCGAAGCCGCAGCCGCACAAGCTGCTCAGCGTTCGTTTTCCTGTCAGTCACACCAAGTCAAAGGCCAGTGCAGGTTCGAGGGGTGGGAGATAGGTCCTACCCACTGAGAGATGATCTCACATTGAGAGGGTCAGACACACAGGGATGGGAAAATCTGTGGCCACACTTCCATCCACTACCATACAGTCTGATTCCATTTCTACAAAGTAGAACCAGTTTGCTGTTCCAAATCCCTTATCAGATGGGCCTGGAGGGTGGTAGAGGGAGGCCATGCTTCTTCCTTTAGGTACTGGTTACAAGTGTGTTCCGTTTATAAAAGCTTAAGATGTCTGAAATGGTTTATGAATGTACACTTGAATTAAAAGTTAAAAAAATATATGCAATGGCTTAAAAAGAATAAAGTTAATTTCCAAGTCACAGTCCAGGTGGTCAGGTTGTTGGAGCAGCTCAGCTCCTTGAGGTGATTTGGGGGACCAGCTTCCTTCTTTTGTGCTGGTTCATCATCTTGTCCTCGCCCGAATAGTTGAGCTGTTACTAGCAGTGTGCATTCTAGCTAGTGGACAAATGTGTTTCTTTCACAAATAAGGTAGAAGTTACACACATCTCTTCCACTCACCACCCACTGTCAAGAACTTATTCTCACAGCCACACCTCACTAGGGATGTAGTCTGAGCTGGGCAGCCTGTACCCAAAATGCTAATTTCAGGAAACAACTAGTAGTCTGTGCATTTTTTATGATGAAGCTGTTCTTTAATAATTATATTTTCAAAGGTTACTCAGAAATAGCTAAGCTTCCTTTTCTCAGTGTTAAACAGTTAAAAACACAAGTGATCTGAGTTTTATTCATTTCCTGTGTCTAAATGAAGGCCAATAATAATCACCACTCCTTTCCTTAGATATATAAATATACTTAAATAATAAATATGTAAGCAAAGACACAAATTTATTTAAATACTGACTACAGAACTGGTCAGATTCCAAGAGCTTATATACTTTCCTGGAGAAAGGTCAACTGTCTTTGGAAAATTCCTTACTATGCTTTTCGAGGGGCAGCCTCTGAAATGAAGTGTCTTTGAATGAATGAATACATTTCAGCAGCCTGTATAATAGGTGTTGAGAGTACCTGTTTAGCACATATAACACTGAATTTTTAAAATTAATTACATTTATTAATCTATTTTCTACTTAAAATGCACAGATAAGGAATTTACACATCAAGCACATGTGTAGGGTTTAGGGAAACAATTTTGTTGTTAATAGAACCCTGTTAATCCATCAGAGGCCTACTATTTTCTGATGGGTATGTTCCCTCTCACAGCAGCCCATTCCCCTTCCCTGGGCCCCCCTCCCAACCCACTCCCTTGGGTTTTCTGATTTACTGCTTGTCTTCCTTCTAGAAGAAAGGGTCAACTGTAGCACTGATAGGTGCTCTAGAACTTTCCCTGAGACATGTCTCACTTGCTCCTAGGCATCTCACCAGGAAGATCTCTTGGGAGCCAAAAAGTTAATAACTGGTTTAGAAAGTACACAATGTCATGGTCTGCCCATTTCTAAAGCGAACTTTATGACATCAGGCAAAGGGAAAGGGAAAGATAAAGGAATCTGGCTTTGAGTCAGGCTGACCCAGGTTCAAATTTAAGTTCTTCCTCTTCCTAAGTATGTGCAACCTTAGGCAAAGGACTAGATCTCCCTGAGTCTCAGCTTCCTCGTCTGTGAAATGGGAATAACAATAAGAATCAGAGAGAGAATAAGTCTATAGGTGCTCAATGAAGCAGTTTCCATGCTCACTATCCCTTTTTGTTTCCAGAAGGCCAAGGGCCATAACTTAAGGAATCAAAGGGAAAGCTGAATAATGACTAAAGTCTTAGAAAATAAGATCTAAGGAGAATAGATGACTGGCAAATGTGTGGAAAAGAGAGCATTTAGTCTGGACAGAGGGCAATGAATACCAATGGTTACCATTTATAAGCACCTGGTACCTTTCTTGGCATTAATATAGTTCTACTCAGTTCTCAGAACAGCCCCGTAAGGAACCTATGATTATGGTCCCATATAACAAGTGAAGATTTCATAACTTGCCCAAGATCTAGCTAAATGGAGAATTGGAGAGTCAGATTCAGGCTTGACGCTTTGCAGTAGCTTAAGATTCTCCCGCCCAGGCAGTGGAGACAGCTCGAGGGAGCTGGACTTACAGAGGAGCAGGAGGGAGACAGGAAGATGGCTGTCAGCCATGGGCATCAGGGACCACTGAGCAAATTCAAAATCTTTCTTTCATCAGAAAGGGAATCCCCCTGTGGCAGCTGCCTCAGGCGTGGGCTTACCCGAAGGCGGGAGGAACTCTATTTTCCCTGGAGGAAAGTGGGCTTGTGAGTACCAGGTGGGACTGATCTCCTGGGATCTGAGCACCCTGCCCTCCCTGCTGCGGGGGCTCAGTGGGAGCACACAGTTGAGTCCATGCCTCTACTTTATCCTATATGTCCTATTGTCATTGCAGATATTCCCTTTGCCTCACTCTGGCCATTCTCCGGAAAGAGTTTACATAAAACAATAAAAATATTAAAATGTACAAATAGCCCTAGACGGTTTTGGTCAGTGGATAGAGCATCGGCTTGAGAACTCAAGGTTCCTGGGTTCGATTCTGGTCAAGAGCATGTACCTTGGTTGCGGGCACATCCCCAGTAGGGGGTGTACAAGAGGCAGCTGATTAATGTTTCTCTCGTCAATGTTTCTAACTCTCTTTCCCTCTCCCTTCCTCTCTGTAAAAAATCAATAAAATATGTGTGTATATATATATATATATATATATATATATATATATATATTAAATGTACAAATAAAAATGTTTTAGCGTTAATCTCGCAACCTCTCCATTTTCTTATCCACAGACCCAGCTTGGTAACTACTATAATTCTGACAAGGTTCTTGGGATTGTCGGCCTCTTCAAGCCATCTCAGGTCTGATTTTCATGCAACCTTGCACTGGTCTAGCAGGGATCTGCTAGTTTTAGTAGAAGCCAAGGTTTTTGCTCTCTTGCTGAGGAGCAGTGACTGGAGCTGAGTCTCATGTCTGCAATGTATTTCCTCTCTGGAGCCACACTGTCCTTTCCCGTGTGGATAATTTTGAGGCAAGCAAAGCAGAGTGTTTCTCCCCCTTGCTTTTCTTCCTTTTGTGGAGACATGGAACAGGTCAGTTCAACAGACTGTATCTTGAATCTCACAGAGGCCTATGACAGAGACCTAACAGGTCACCATTTGAGCCATAAATATTTTTTCTGAAGAGCAGTCCCAAGAGCTCGCTAAAACTTGCATTTGGATTTAACACAGATTGAGAACCTTATGTTTAATCCATGTCTCTAAACTCTGTACCTGATTCTGAACCACTGGCTTCAAAATGACTTCTAACACTGACATACCTTCTAAGTGAACTAAACAAAGAACACCAACCCCACTCTGCCCTCCCTGAAGATAACATGGAAAAACAAAGCCACACTGAGAAAGGAGAGGCCATGCTTTGATTTGGTCCAGCAAACTTCTCTCGGCCTCAGAATACTGCCACTTCCCGAAGTTCCAGCCTTGGGCTGTGGTCCACTCGGAGCAAGTGAATTCCTCTGTGGAAACTTGCACATAGCAAGGAGATGGTGTCACCAATGGCCAGGGAAGTCAAAGGTCCTGATCCATCCAGAGACAAGGTGAGCAGGCAGGCTGGGGGAGGAAGAGGGAAACCAGCCACTTAGGCCAAGAGTGCAATATCATGAAATGCAGTGAGTGTCTTTGTAAGAATTCCACGTAATTAAAGCATGTGCTATGTGTCTCCGACCCATACAACAGAGGCAACCCCATGCTTTAGAGCAGAGGTTCTCAACCTTTCTAATGCTGCGCCCTTTAATTCAGTTCCTCGTGTTGTGTTGACCCCCAACCATAAAATTATTGTCGTTGCTACTTCATAACTGTAATTTTGCTACTGTTAATGAATCGTAATGTAAATATCTGTGTTTTCCGATGGTCTTAGGCTCTACAGCAGCGGTTCTCAACCTGTGGGTCGCCTAAGACCATCGGAAAACACAGATATTTACATTGCGATTCATAACAGTAGGTTTATGACAATGAAGCTAAAAAGCTATATCTCCCACTTCCCATATCAAGGTGACCGGAGAAGGCAACTCTAGGGGAGGGGAGGGGGCTGTCCTTACTATGTAAGTTAAGCTTGTGTGCCCTTTGACCCGATCTCACCTCTTTCTCTGAGGGAGCTACCCTACCCTCCTTTGATGAGACCCAAATTTCTGGAAGATTACTGTAAGAGGGACTTGGTTTGAAGTTTTCTAAAGTAATGATATTCTTGTGTTTAGCAGAATCCTGTGTCCAGGACAGAATGGCATGGAGGCAGTAGGGTGGAAGGGAACACAAGCTTTATTCATAACATTTGCCAAATCTTGTGGCATAAATACTCCCACCATGACCATATTAAATATTCCTGAATACTTAACAATAACATTAGGAGCTGGATCAGCACACCACCTCATTGACAACTCCAGGGAGCTGTGTTCCCTAAAACAGCTTTCTCAGGTGCTTTAAAGTGTCATGATAATTTCAAAACCTTAGCTGCAGAGTCAAAACAGGGCACAGCCTTTCTGAGACTATCTTTACTCCACCTCAACCCACCAAGAGCTGAGGCTCTCATTTTAGTCCTTGAAAAATAAATTTTAAATGGCAGTTTCTATTCTCTTTCCAGACATTTTGAGCAATACAAGTTAAAACCTAATGAGGAATTTTAAGTAGTAAGAATATAAGAACCAAATACATCTGAGCTCTTAGGAATGAGTCTGTACAATATGATAGAAACAGCTATGATGGCCTCTAGCGGAGGCTGCACAGAGATTCTGGTATCTGGTGTCATGTCTTAACCACCAGGGGGCGGAACAGTGGCAGGACATGGGTGGTGTGCTGAGAAATGGAAAGAACGTTTTCAGGAAGCCTTTGAGACTTCACATATCTTTAAGAAGCACTAATAGTAGGTCCCTTACCTCCAGTATCTTGGTCCCAAATCTTCACCTTGCAGTCATGTGATGAGGTAGCGATTATAGGCTTCAAGGCCAATGCTCTTGGTAGAAACACACAAGATGCCACAGTCTGGAAATGCCCCTTATATTCACATATTCTGTTCCGCGTCTGTCTTAGGTCCCACAACTGCAAAGTAATGATATAGGCTACCTCAGATATACTATACATTTCCCCAGCTTCATTCATTGATATCTATTTCCTCTCCATCTCATGACCCACCTGTCGTCTCCACTTACCTACTTCTGTAGCTACCCTTACCTTCATCCATCCCATCCACAACACAGCCAACCATTCATCCACACAGTGATTATTTTAAGCACCAACTGTCTCAAACAACCCGGGTTAAGAATGTGCCTGAGGGTTGTTGTGTTCCTCATTAACATACTGGTTAGGAAAGCGAAGCCCCAAGTCCTACAGCATGAGGTTACTGACTTTCTATGACAACTCAAAAGCACCTTATATCAGCCCCTTGGTATCTGTGGGTCTTGTGGGGACCCCACAGTTAGGAGCACCTTCTCATAAGTACATGCAGGCACAGACCTGATTTAATGCATAGTCACTAAACCTTGCCTACAACAGTGAGGCACCAGTTCTGCCAGTCCCATTCTTTGCTGATACAGATCAGACCACACGTGGAGAATAATGTTCCAGGTAAGAGAGCAAACTGAATTGTGTCCAAAAAAGAGTGAGATCACTGGACACCATGTCCTCTGAGGAACAGTTGTAGGAGCTAGAAATGCTTAACTTGAAGAAGAGAGGCTATATCAATAGCCTAGGATTTCAAACCTTGACCTACCACTTTCCAGAGGTGTGGTCTTGTACAACTTGCCATGTCTCTATTTTCTCAACTGTAAAATGGGAATTATACTACTACTTGACCTACGTGGTTGTTCAAGTTAAAAAAAAAATTTTTAATTGATTTCAGACAGGAAGGGAGAGGGAGAGAAAGATAGAAAATCAGTGATGAGAGGAAATTATGATTAGCTACCTCCTGCATGCCCTCAACTGGGATGGAGCCCACACCCCAGGTATGTGTTCTTGTTGGAATCAAATACAGGACCCTTCAGTCACAGGCCAGCATTCTATCCACTGAGTCAAACCAGCTAGGGCTTTCATGGTTGTTTTAAGGATTAAATGGGATCATACATGGATGTGCTCAGCCCAATGCATAGGCTTTGGGCTGAGCACATTCCATGTTTGATATCCATGTTTGATATCAAATAAAAAATGTTTGATAAAATGGGAGCTGTAATTGTTCTATTTAGGTACTAGATGACCCCTTTAACTGGTATTCTACTATTGGGAATCCAAGGTGCTTTGGAAATTAATTGAAAGGAAAGCTATATGGGTAAGGGATGGGGTGGGCCCTTGATCAACCCTGAAACTCCAACTTCCTAAAGAGCTTGAACCTCTTTTACTGTGGCCACAGGTACAATAAAAACACTTAGTTCTTCACACAGTCCTTCTCCTTCCTAAGCTCTGCTGGGAGATGGACATTAGCAGGCCAGTTCTAGGATATAGCCTTCTTGACTCTCATCCCATTTCTCTTTCCCAAACCAATTCAGAAAGCCCTAGGCCAGTGGTCGGCAAACTCATTAGTTGACAGAGCCAAATACCAACAGTACAATGATTAAAATTTCTTTTGAGAGTCAAATTTTTTAAACTTAACTTCTAACACCACTTCTTCAAAATAGGCTCTCCCAGACCATGGTATTTTGTGGAAGAGCCACACTCAAGGGGCCAAAGAGCTGCATGTGGCTCGTGAGCCGCAGTTTGCAGACCATGGCCCTAGGCTAATGGGCATTTCTTGAAAGAAGTATTTGGAATGCAAAGGATCACTTATAGTCTGCACTTGGAATAAGCCTGAGCCATTAGCAGACTTGCTGTGTAGCCCAGGACAGGCATGAGGCCAGAGCAAGTTATTCGGTCATCAACAACCAGACACCTGGACCCAACATGACTGCTCACCGTGGCTTCACAGCCTTCTCCTCCAAAGCCATTGCTGCAGGAGAGACACCTGTGTCCATCCTCACTGACCTCGCAGTAGGTCTGAATGTGTTGCTTTGCAGGAAATATATGAGCCACCTGGAGCCCCCGACTGTCCCATAATCTGAAAGAAATTATAGCAAAAAATGAGTTTATAGTAAATGTGTCTGAAATATACCACAGTCACCTGCAATCATAAAAGTCTTGGCTCTTTGCTGCTTTGGCCAGTCAGAATGGAGTCATAATATATCTAAAAACAGCAGCTTGAACCAGTTCAATCTCGGAGACTCCAAGCTGGCAGGAAATAACAAAATGACATCTGAGTTCTTTCTATTTTGAGATCTAGTTAATAGAAATTTAGACCAAGCATCTTAGTTATATAGGTTAATTTGGTCTTTTGGGATGCTGCCTTCAATGAAAAGAAGGTATTTCTGTCCCTGTGATTTATAATTTTTAAAAAAATATCTTTATTTATTTCAGAGAGGGAGGGTAAGAGAGTGAGATAGAAACATCAATGATGAGAGAGAATCACTGACCAGCTGCCTCCTGCATGCCCCATACTGGGGATCGAGCCTGCAACCTGGGTATGTGCCCTGACCGGGAATCGAACCATGATCTCCTGGCTCATAGGTCAATACTCAATCACTGAGCCACACTAGCTGAGCTATAATTTTGTTAAAAAGATACAGAGGAGCAATCATCTTTCCAGATTCATAAACAAAAGATCTACAGACTTGGACAACCCTGGTTATGGGATTCACTGGGGAGTATTTTATTTACTTCTTGTCTCATTCCTACCATTTTCTAAGTAGAATCTCTTCTGATTGCCAGTTTCAAGTCATGCTCTCTAGTCTAAGAACAGTTTACTTCATTTGATTCCCCTGATGGCGATTCTTACTCTGCTTTCCCTGAGAGGGCTTCGCCTGAGGGCTGGGTGATTGGGAACGTGAGGAATCTGAGCAGGGGGAGCAAATAAAGCCAGGCAGTTTGAAGGGGTAGGAGGAGCAGGTGACTCATCCTGAGGTCAATCTGACTGTTCACACAGCTCACACAGCCAGGGCGGGTGGAATCAGCTGCTTTGGGTTTTTCCTGGCCTGACTAGCATTCACCCTCTATCTAGGGGTGTCGAACTCAATCAGAGAAGGGGCCAAAATCTAAAATCCAGCCTAAATCGCGGGCCGAATGGTTTACTGAACAGTCATAAACTGTCATTGTGATGGAAACGCAGCCGAGTGCAGTGATGACAGAGCTGTGCGGGCCACATTGCAAGGCCTGGCGGGACGGATTTGGCCCACGGGCCTTGTGTTTGACACATGTGCTCTATACAGATGACTCCATGGGGCCAGATGAGAGAGGCCCCAGGACCAGTGAGGGGCAAAGGGGCAGAATGCCCTGGCAAGGGCACAGCAATTCAGAGAAGCAGGGTGGGAATGGAGTCGTGTAAGCGTGGGAGCCACAAATCTTCACCAGAAACACCGTCACTGCTGCTCAGTGAGCCCACCTGATGGTTTTATCTTCAGAAGTCTGCAGAACATATGGTTCTCTGGGGACCCAACACAGGTGAGTGACCTGGAAGAAGCACAATTTTCAAAATGTCTCCATACCAAGTCATTCCTCTGCTGGAAATCCTGTAAACAGTGCAGAATAGCACCTCTGTACCACTTCTCAAGGATGCTGAACTAGGAAATTGGACTTGGAGGAAGGGATTTCATGTTTTGAAGATACCCGCCAGCCATGCTCTCCTTGAATCTCCTTGGCTATCAGCATCAAGAGTAGCAGCTGGGCCAGTTGTGAGTACCCAAATGCATGCAGGCACTCTTAGGATGCCTGAACCCCAGACACCTGTAAGGAGCTAGAGCTGGTCCCCCTGAGGCAGCCAGGGGAGCAGTCCCTGTTCTGAAGCAGAACCACTGAAACCACGGTCTAGGCCGCAGAGCGTTGAGAAAGGGTTTGTGATTTATAATTTTTAAAAAGATATTTTTGCTTTATCTCTGCAGCCCTCTGGTGGGCAGACATGAAAAACTTTTCAAAACAACCCAGGGTAACAGGATTTTCTTTTCCCCCAGGAACCTCCACAAATACACAAGGCATAGGGCAAGCGCATCTTGCCATTGACAGTTTTCTTGCAAACTGGAAAAGATAACTGTGGCTGACATTTGATGGCCACTAAGGGAACATCTACCATGTCGGGTGATAGAATTCTCCCCATTTTATCAATGAAGACACTGAGACTCTAAGTAAGTTTCTTAGGAAAACACAGCTAACAAGTGATGGATTGGTGGTTTGAACTCAGGTCTGACTGACCCCCAAGGTTGTGGAGTTCATATACCAGTCTGAACGCTGATCTTCATAAACAGAGCAGATTACAAAGAAACCAATGTCATTCTTATTTCTCTGCATAATGTTATGGATACAGAACACAGAGCATAAGGTGAGCTCTTGGAGGACAGAGACTTTGTCCATAGTTACTAACCCTGCTCTAAGCTGTGTCCAGCCCACAGAAGAAATAAAATAATTGTGTTTTGAAGGAATAAGTGAGGACACCATTTAAGATTCCAATATAAACTAGTGGAATTGTTCTCTGGAGCAAAAGACCTTAAGAGGTCATCTAATCTGATAACCCTGAGAAGCTGGGGTTTGACAGAGAGGTAGGGGTGGGGAGCAATAAGGACCCAAGTCTCTAACGCCTTGTCTCCTGGTCTCGGTCTCCTGATCTCTCACCCACGTCCTTTCCCTCACCCTATCCTCCCTTCTGCTGCCTGCTCCATAGCAAGTTAGAGTTCGTACCAGGTTCCTGGAGACCGAAGCTCTCTCCACACACTGTCCAGTCCCCACGTCCCACAGGAGTAGGGAGTTGTCCCGAGAGCCAGAGCACAGCTGTGATGAGTCTTTGGAAACAACAGCAAGAAGATGGTCCATGAGACAGACTTGGAGCAGGGCTTTTCAGAAAGTACAAAGGCCCTGGGAAGGGCTCAGCTTTACCTACCAGGACTCACAGCTAACCCAGTGACCACCATGGCGTGGCCCGAGAACTGCTGCCTGGGTTGCGAGGAGCCGTGCAAGTCCCACATCATGACCATCCTGTCCCGAGAGGCGCTGAAGAACTGGTTTGATTTGTGAAGACAGGCTATCTGTTCGAGAAAAAAAGCTTTGGTGTGCTTGTTTGATTGGATTTTAAAGTAGAGAAAGACCTGGGGATAAGAAGGTTACAGCCTGACCTTCTCTCTCAGTCTGGTTCATAATGCACTGTATCTGACAGGAAAACATCCTGTTCCGTGCTATGGGACTGTGGCTGATGCTGAGTTTCATTATGACAGCACCCTAACTTTGGTCCATTCAGATAGAACTTCAGAGAGGAGAGTCATATAAATTGGCATTCTCTGTCATTTTTGCTGGAAATGCACTCTACTCTGTAAAGCTATTAAACAAATTAATTTTTATTTAACTATTGTTGGATTTTTAAAAATTTTTCCAACTAAGTGTAGATATTATGTCATTTTTCTAACTGTAGCAAACATACAGAAAGCCTTCAATGCATGTCCCTGTTGAGTTAGGATCAGCCAGGGAGAGCTACTGTCTTTTTACCACCTGAGCTATTAAGGGCTTAATAACAAGAGGAAAATTGTGTCAAATATCCCTGCACCAATAGCTAAGTGAATGGTTTGCTCTGCTTTTCCTAGAGTAGGACTTCACAGCACCAAATATAAAGCCTTTGCATGTTCCTTTAAGAATATTCAATCACTCTTACCATCTAGAGTGATTAGGTATTCCTTTATTTCGTTCCAAATCCCCTCCATGATAATAACCATTTTACAGTTTTACCTTGGTGATGTCATGTTCATGTCCTCGGAACCTTTTCACCACATTTCCGGTTTTCCAGTTATAGGCCACAACTGTCTGCAGAGAGTCATGGGCACAGTTTAGTTTAATGGAATGTGTGTTTAACTGAAACAACAAACCTTTACTTCAGCCTCTACCTGACTTGTACCTCTCTGTCCAGGGACCTGCATCAAGCGTTAGGGTTCTACTGTGTCCCTCCTCAGGGCCCCTACTTTGAGTTTCTATCTTTCCTCCTGATCTATCCTGTCTCTCCCCAGCTCCTGGGCCACCCCTCTGAGCCTTACTGATGGGTTTGGGATAACACTCCCTAAGGGGAACTGATTCAGATTGAGATTCTGGTTGTAGATACTGAAGAATTCTACATAGGATTAGATCTCTCCCTCCAGCCCACTTGTGTTGTATTATTTAGTTTTTTACATTTATCATCTTCTTAATCATTTGTAGGTATACAGTTCACTAGCATTAAGTATATTTCCATTTATTGCAAAACAGACTGCACTTTTTTAAATTTCAAAAAACCTCATTCGTATCCCTCCTGCCAGAGAGAATCATTGTTAATAATTTCTTTCCATCTTTTTTCCACGCATATACTTTAATATTTTGTTGTAAAACCCCCCCACCCCTAAAATAGGATTTCAAAAGCTTTCTTTGGCCTAGTCTCTGCAGTTCATTGCTAGAGAGTAAAGAGCATGTTAGCGCTTGACCTAAATCTCAGTTTTGTAATCTTCAAAATGGAGATGTTAATCCTTGCACTCAGGTGATGCTCATATCAATAAAAATTTCATGTCTAAGATAATATAGATATTAAGATAAAATGCTGTCAATTATGCTATCAATTTTCAAATGCATACTGATTTCAGAGATGTAAAATGTGTGCATCTGAAAGTCAATGAAATACAGTGTGAGAGTGGAATTTGAAGATTCTGAAAGGCTACTGAAAATAAGAGGCATTATTTACCACAAATGAATCAATATTTTTGCTACCAATATCCTAGCTGTAAGTGCTATGAGAGATCGACCTATGAGGGAGAGAAAGCAACCAGATTCAAAGTGAGCTGGAGGAAGCACAAAGACAGAGAAGGGAGGAATCACAACACACACCAATGTAGAGAGATTTTGGCAAAAGAGCAGTATAAAAGACAAGACTAGAAAGCTCCTTTTGCTGACACATAACTCCTGTGTCTGTGTGTAGGTGTAAAGAAGGATTGGTTGGAATAATAATATTTGTCATTTATAAAAAGCACATGGGTGGCATAGTGCTCAAGATCTTACTATTTACTTCTCACAAAGGTCTTGTGAGGTTGGCGTTATTATCCCCATTTATTAGATAATAGATTGAGGCTCAAGAAAATTAAGACTTGCTCAAAGTAGGAGGAAGTGGCAGAGAAAGGATTTAAACCCAGTTTTTCTGATTCTAAAACCACATTTTACACTACCCGACACTGCTGCCAAAAATGAAAAAAAAAAAACAACAAAAAACAGCGTCTGCTTCCCAAATATCTTCCCTTCTCTGCAATAAGTTGTTCCCCTGGGAAGCACTGCAAATCCCACCTTGTCTTTTCCTCCGGAGACACAGAGGTCTGAGTTCAGAGCAGCAACAACAGAGACGGTGTCCGAGTGAGCTGGGCTATACTCCTGAAAACCTGTAGCTTGAATTCTCTCTTCTATAATTGCATCGGGCCTGCTAAAGAGAGGATGGAGAATGAGAGGCCCAATGGTATGCGAGTGCCCAGTGAGCAAGGGGAAGAAGAGTGTGAGCGGAAGCAGCAATTCAGGCCAGACGGAGGAGAAAGGTGGAAAAGGAGACCCGCTGACATTGCCAGTACGGAGATGCTCAGAGTGACTGAATCTGACAAAGGGGAATCCTGAAGCCAAGAAGCCAGGAATCTTGACTCACTAGAGATTATTCCCAAGATGTTGGGCCCCTCTATGTGTGGGCGTAGACATTAGCTACCAAGCTAGACTGTTTCCCCCTCCCTCCCTCCCTCCTTCCCTCCCTCCTTCCCTTCCTTCCTTTCTTCCCTCCTTCTAAAATATATTTTATTGATTTTTTATAGAGAGAAGGGAGAGGGATAGAAAGTTAGAAGCACTGCTGAGAAAGAAACATTGATCAGCTGCCTCTTGCACACTTCTTATTGGGGATGTGCCTGCAACCAAGGTACAAGCCCTTGACTGGAATCGAACCTGGGACCTTTCAGTCCACAGAATGATGCTCTATCAACTGAGCCAAACTGGTTAGGGCTAGACTGTTTCTTATCCAAAAGAAAACTGAGCAAACCGACAGTCCAGAGAAGGTCATCAATACTTGCTCTGGGCCTTCTCTTTCTTCAGTGGAGAATTGTAACGGGCACGATGAACCCAGGATCCACGGCAGGGCTGCTGTACCTGTATTTATAAGTGCTGTGTTTGAGTTTGCTTTGCAGTTTCCCCATCATGGCGCAGAACCTACACAAAATCTTCTGAGGAGGAGCTCGTTTCAGATGGCACCTGAGGGGCAGCATCCCTTGTGGCTGCTGGAAGTTGGAAGCTGTGTTCCCTGTTCAGTAAAAAGAATAATACACAGTTGATTTTGTTAGGCACAATGATGGCAGTATGGTATAGGGATTCAGAACGAGTACCACAAGATGTGCTTCTGTGGTGTGTGGACTGCTTTGAGCTAAAGGCAATTTTAGCACAAGAAAAACTTCTCTCTGGCTCCCCTCAACGACCTAGAACTTGAATTAGAGGCCTTGCCCATGATAAGGTATTATCAGCAATAACCTTTTTGACCCACCTGTATGTCAGGGAAAACTTATTTAATAAACATCTGTTCTTCTTATCATCTTTCAATGACTCTTTGAAGTCCCCAAGGTGTATTACCTCATCCCTAGCTCAGGATGTCTTTTACATCTGCTCCCCCTTTGTCTCTGAGTCTCTCATGCATGTGGAGTCTCTGACTCTCTCATGTATGTGGGATTCCCATACATATGTATTAAATTTGGTTATTTTCTCTTTCTAATATGCATGATGTCTTTTGATTATGAGACCAGTCACAGAACCTTGAGTGTAGAGGAAAATAACCAAAAAGACAGCAGCTAAAACTCACCAAGTATTCTCAATCATCTCATTACCATTAACAAATAGAGTTTTCCGGAAGAATTTAAACCAACATTTTGAGAAGCTGCTGGAATTGACCTCTTGAAAGGAGTTGGTAAGCAGTACAAAAGCACAACGCAGTGCAGAGAACAGTGTTTGTGGCATCAAGAGCCCTGAGCTCCAGCCCCAGCTCTGCCTCATCTCACTGTGTCCTTGGTTGAGTTCCTCCATTCCCCACTCTATGCCTCAGCCTCCCTATCTATAAAATTCAACTTCAGATTAAATGCTTTTTAGAACACTATCTGCTCCCTAAGAGGAAGGACTCTATCATACTCATCTTTGTACCTTAAGTGACTTGCTCAGTGTGGTAAAACATTTGTGAACTAGTGATTCTATGGTCCCTTCCAGTTCGGAACTTCTAGAGTTCTCTATAATAAGCACAAGATGTGCTGACAGGAACCAAAACACTTGTATGCATGCATATAAACATACCCAATGGACAGAGACAACAGGGGGGCAAGGGCAGGTAAGGGAGTAGGATGGGAGGGCAAAGGGGGATATGGACCCATGTGTAATACTTTAATTTAAAAAATCAGAGAAAAATTCCAGGATACCTTGCAAAAAGCTTGGGATGGTGTATCTTTTGTAGATTGGTAGAGGTTGCAGGGCATCCTATCTGTCAGCCCAACCCATTTTTCAACATTGTCATCAAACTAAGGACAGATGCCATTCAGAGATCTAGGTCACTGGAAACTGCAGGTGCTATAAATGGACTGGCTCTGCTTAAACTGATTAGATTCTTAGCTGGTATCTTCTTATACTTCCCACCTGAAAAATATTCATGGAACATTCTAAGGGGAAAAAAAATAACTTTTACCTTACCCCAAATCAATAGAATCTTCTTGGTGAGCTGTGTGCAGTATCCAATGCTTTGAATGTTTATCCTTTGGAAAATACTACAGGCAGCCACTTCCTAATCTCTGTAAGTAGTGAAAAGATGCTTAAATTAATCTCTTCTCTAAGCATATGTTTGTACTAAAAGGATATTTACAAGGTAAATTAAGGACTTTGTTAACTAAAAAGATTGTGAAGTGTAGTTTTCCCTCACAAGGAAAGAGATAATACAAAATTCCAATATTTGGGGGGAAAGTATACCATAATATTAATTATATATGTTTAAATATGCAAAGTAGCATCTATTTAAATGCACCATTAAACATCTTTATTTTACTCATAGTACTTCTGTTCATCAAAAATCTTCATAGGTGACTGCTTATTTCAGAACTTAAGTGGTTTTTTTGGTGAGAAAGGCAATTTCTCCTGTTTAAAATAATACTTTAATAAGTATGGGTCATAGAAGTTTTGATGAAAGAGCTTTTCAAAATCACATAAAACACTTTATTTAAAGATCTGGAGAATTATTTACTCAAAATTATAACTAGGTATAATTGACTTCTAGTCCAGTAGCCATGTTAGTAACTATCATTTACTCTAGTCCAGAAATTCTAGTCCAGAATTTCCATTATAAAAATCTACAAAGAAGAAACCAGTTTTGCCGAAATCAGTTTGGCTCAGTGGATAGAGCGTCGGTCTGCGGACTGAAAGGTCCCAGGTTCGATTCCGGTCAAGGGCATGTACATTGGTTGCGGGTACATCCCCGGTAGTGGGTGTGCAGGAGGCAGCTGGTCGATGATCGTCTCTCATTGATGTTTCTAGCTCTCTATCCCTCTCCCTTCCTCCCTGTGAAAAATCAATAAAAAATATATTTTAAAAAAGAAAAGAAAAAGAAACCAGTTTTATTGCACTTTAACAACTCCATTCTAAGGATTCAAATAAATAAATTCAAATTATCAATTGACAGTGTCTAATAATTAATAGCAGCACAGGCTAGTCAGAACAACATTTGACTGAGTGCACTGGCATCATTTTTACGAGTAGGTCTGAGCAACTTGTTGAACCTAAGTCTCAGTTTCCTGTGTGTAAAGTGGGATAACTCTACAGTTGGCCTTTTGTGAAGATTAAAAATAGCACTCAGGAGGTGCCACGGACTATTTTAAGTGCTTTATACTTATTAGCTCATTTAATCTATTCCACAAGCCTCTGGAACAGTTACTTTCCTCATTTTGTAGATGAGAAAAGTGAAGCACAGAGATGTTAAATAACTTGCCCAACTTTACAAATAAATTGCAAATGAGTAGCAGAGCTAAAATTTGAATCTGGTAATCTTGCTCGAGAGGCCTCGCTCTTGACAGCATACTATACTGCATCTCTATAACAGGTAGTGCATATAAAGCCCTCAATTCAACCAGGCAAATGGTTGAGAGTAAGTGATGGCCTCTAACATGATTGACAGCATTACTAAAAGTAGCAATTTCACCCTTATTACTACTGCCCTTAGTACACATATATTAAACATACATAAATATACTCAGAGAACAGATACAAATGGATATATGAGTCTGGAGGATTTTAAACTGAAGCCAACTTTGTCCTCTGACCAGAGTGACTGATCACACTAAGGCTAAGAATTTATTACATTATATACCAAGGCAATTTAAAATCTCAAAAACAAAGTGTATGTACTTAGATAATGTCCATGTTGTAAATTTATTGAGTTGACTAACCTAAGAAATTAAAATACTATTCAGTCATCTTCCTGTTTATACTGTGAACATGTAACATACTTGAGAGAAGGGACGGTGCCTTGTTCATTTTTTAAAAATATATTTTATTGATTTTGTACAGAGAGGTAGGGAGAGAGATAGAGAGTTAGAAACATCGATGAGAGAGGGTCATCGATCAGCTGTCTCTTGCACACCCCCTACTGGGGACATGCCCGCAACCAAGGTACATGCCCTTGACCGGAATCGAACCCGGGACCTCTCAGTCCCCAAGCCGACGCTCTATCCATTGAGCCAAACCAGTCTTGGCGATTTTTGTATCTGTGCTTTAAGCATAGCATGGGAGAATGGATGAAGGCAACCATCTGTCCAATAAATGAATGAATGAATGGCATACTAAGGTGAAGAGTCTGTTTGGCAAGAAGCTTTTTAAGTCCAACAATCTAAGGGTTCTTTAAAATTGCCCAACAGCAAATCCTTCAGGAAGCAGTTACTCTGCTTAATTCAATCACAGGCCCGGAAAACATGGCAGAACTTGGGAAAGCTATAAACTCAACATGGCTCTGGATGTCCTTGTTGGCTCTTGATGGACTAAATCTGAATCCCAGCATCCATTTCTGCTCCAATTTGCCTTCCAAAGACCCTGAGATACCCAATGGCCACCCTACATGACTCGGAGAACTCTCTTTTAGCTTTCTAGTGCCATATTCCTTGATATACCGCCGCATATATCCAACTATCGTTTTCCACGAAGAAACTCAGACACAGAGGACTGTGCCTTGCGGGAGCAGAGCTGGGGAACAGAGTCTCATTTCCCTACACTCTTGGTAAATGGTGATTTCCTATCTCCCGCTGTACACATCCAACCTTACACTCTGGGAGACCAAGACATGGAAACCAAAGCTCAAAACACAAAATCACAGTAGAAGCACATGGGAAGAGGTCTGATTCAACCCTCGAAGAGTACAAATAGAGGAAACGGAGGCCCAGAGAATTAGAGGGTCTTGCCCAGACTCACACAAGAAGTCAGTTCTAGGCCAGAATCCCAAGGTTGCCCCAAGCTTTAAGGACAACTGTTGTCCATTTTTTTTTTTTTTTCCTTTCTGGCTATTCAGATCACAAAGGCCTTCATCTAATCTATGTGGACAGCCTAAGCTTTTTTTTTTTTCTTTTTTTCTTTTTTTTAATATATTCTATTGATTTTTTCAAAGAGAGGAAGAGAGAGGGATAGAGAGTTAGAAACATTGGTCAGTAATCTCTTGCACACCCCCCACTGGGGATAATTCTGCATCCAAGGTACATGCCCTTGACCGGAATGGAACCTGGGACCCTTCAGTCAGCAGGCCAACGCTCTATCCACTGAGCCAAACCGGTTTCGGCCTAAGCTTATTTTTGATAAGGGGCCTGGGGACGCCCAAGATGGGAATCCAGAGCCACCCAAAACAAGCCCGGCCTTCGGAATTCTCTCCTCGCTTCCTCCAGGACCTGGAGTCCAGGTGAACCTCTGCAGTTGGGAAAACACGGGCTCCCACTTTTCCGCCCACCCGCTGAGCCCCTTCCTACCCCCCTCGGCCTCCATACCCATCGGCCGGCTGCCCAGCCGGGAGGTGAGGCTGGCGGGGACGCCGAGCCGAGCCTTGAGAGCTTCTGCAACCTCCGAGCTCCAAGGCTGGTGCCCCCGCCCCTAGCAACGAGGCGCGCGTCGCTAGGGTGGGAGTTCAGCCGAAAAGCCTCCGGGCAGCCTCGCCGGCTACTCAACCGTGGTTCCGCTCTCAGTCACATCTCCCAGGAGCCCAGCCGAGAGCACCCCGCCCTGCTTTCTTACCGTAACAATGCGCTGATGAGATTCCTGAGAAGAAGACCGGTGTGCCCAGACCACGCGGCCAGAGAATCTATAAGATACAAGGAAAGCTGGTATCACCATAACCGTAACGGAGGAAACCCTTCATAGATGTCACCTTTTAAATTGTTACTTGCCTAGATAGGGGTATTGCTTTTTTTCTTTGGAGTTTACCATGACTCCTCCCAGGCAGAGAGCCCTCCTTTGGACACTCCCCCAGGTTACTCATTCGCCTATTCCTTTCATCAAACATTTATGGCCCACCACCATAGCAAAGACATCCCTCAGTACCTTCTAGAGATCCAATGAATGGTAAGACCCTTCCGGAAACCAACAGCACCTTCTAGACAAAGTTTTGACAGCTCCAATCGCATTGCTTTCGGATTGGAGTCCATTCATGTCTGTATTCTTAGCGCATAGCACAGGTCTTGATGTACAGTAGTGGTTTGTTGAACGTTTGTTGAATGAATGAATGAATGAATGAATGCAGAGATCTTAACCAACATTTCTTTTACACGGTGGTAGGTGCCTCCTGCGGTGTTGATCTCCCAGCAGAACTGCCTTCAATGAAGATTTGTGAAATTTCTGAAAGTTGATATACTGTGGGAACAGGGTGGTGAGGGAAATTTTCCTTTACAGAATATCAAGGCTGGTGATTGATTGGGTCTGTCTTCCCCAGAGAGAGTCCCTTCTCCTGTATCCCTGATGGGGTTCTTCTAGCCCTGTTGACACTCCCTTGATGATGCATTCATTACTTTCTGAGTCAGTGACTTGCTGTTAGACTTTCTCCTGTCAGGAGCTGGGATCTATCCCATGCTACTTGCAGCACTGATTGTACAATAGTTCAGAGCTGAGGGCTCGCCCTACAAACTTAGTCCCTCTTACCCATGACAACCTGGCAACCAGGAGAGACCAGATTGCTTTGCCCTGGGGCACTGGGCTAGGCTCAGTGTAGCAACAGTTGCCTTACCAGATCCCTGCCCTCCAGATGCTTCAGCTCTTGGGATATAACCCACCCCCCTTCCCAGAATATGCTTTCGGTTCAAGGCACCTGAGACTTCCAAACTGGTATCTCTAGCCAGACTTCTCCTAGACCTGTGTATCCACCTACTTCCTGCCCATCTACACTTGGCTATGTAAAAGGCATCAATCCTTGACAATGAATCACACTGGAAACATTATCTTCCCCCAAAACCTGTTCTTCCTCTTTTCTTTCTACGTGCCGGGCATTACCATTCACCAATCAACCATGGCACGGCTCTAGGACTCATTTGAGACTTCACCCTCTCCTCCTCCCCCAGACTGAATTAGCTATCCTTCCTGAGTGTTTCTAAAGCCCCTCATACTCTGCAACACAGTGTGATTTTTCATTTACTTGGCTCTCTCACTTGCCCGTGAGCTCCCTGTGGACAGTGACTGAGTCTTCTTTACACCTGCATTTATCGCTGGTGTCCAACATAGTGTCTAGCACAGCACTACAATAGAACATTCTATTCTGATGGAACTGTTCTGTATTTCCTCTAAGCTAGCCCCAAGCCACCTGTGGCTACTGGAACACCAGAAATGTGGCTAGTTTGCAACTGAAGAACTGAATTTTAAAATGTATTTCATTTTAACTTTAAATTAAGTAGCCACATGTAGCTAATGGCTATGGCATTAGATAGCACAGGTATAGCATATAGTTGATCCTCAATAAGTAGTTTTGAATAAAGAATGAAAAGGGAAGGTGGCCATAAACAGCCAATTAGGACACAAGGTAGAATGCTATGAATGTAATCAACCTACTTTTTTGTGCCCCCTTCTTTTCCCTCACCTTTCATCCCCTCAACCTAACACTATCAATGTCTCCAGTTCTGTCTTATCTATACTAATAAAAGGGTAATATGCTAATTAGACTGGGAGACCTTCTGGACAAAGCCATGGTGGTGGGGCTGAGGCAGAGGCAGTTAAGGGTGATAAGGCAGATAGGCAGAGAGGTTAGGGTCGATCAGGCAGGCAGGCAGGCAGGCAGACGGGTTAGGAGCAATCAGGTTGGCAGGCAAAGGCAATTAGGGGCAATCAGGCAGGCAGGCAGGCAGGTGAGTGGTTAGGAGCCAGCGGTCACAGATTTCGAGAGAGATGTCCGATAGGAATGGGTGCAGGCTGGGCTGAGGGAACCCCCACCCCTCTTGCACGAATTCTGTGCACCAGACCACTAGTATAAATATAATCCTAGTTCACCGCTCTTTTCTGCCTGAACTGATTTTTTTTTTCCTTCTGGACTTGGCTAGTTTGAGAGGGTCCATCCTCTGAAGTGTACAGGTCCTAAGAGTCCTCTGGAAATAAAATCTGGTCTCATCCAGTCTGGTCTGGTCTGGCAAGAGCAGGAAGGACTCTCTCTCTTCGGGGGCTTGGACTTCATAGGGACTCATGTGGTGTAAGTTTGTCTGCATGGGCAGGCTGCCAAGTTGTTGTTTTTTTGTGTGTGTTTTTTAAAAATATATATTTTATTGATTTTACACAGAGAGGAATTGAGAGGGATAGAGAGTTAGAAACGTTGATGAGAGAAACATCAACCAGCTGCCTCTTGCACACCCCACACTGGGGATGTGCCCGCAACCAAGGTACATGCCCTTCACCGGAATCGAACCCGGGGCCTTTCAGTCCACAGGCCGACGCTCTATCCACTGAGCCAAACCGGTTTCGGCCCAAGTTTTTCTTAAAGGTGGCATTTGATACTGGTTGTGCTGTGAAAACATCACAGGAGAAAAGAAGCAACAGCATTGACAGTTTTCTTGCCGCTGCTGGAAACTGTGCAAACCCCAGTCAGATGACTTCCAGCCCTGACACCAGAGATGCTGGTTGGATCAGGGTTTGAAGGAGAAAGAGGCATGGGAACCGGGTGAGGCAAGGCGGGGCCAGCAATAGACCAGGGCCCAGGCCAGGCAGGCAGACAAGGGCTGGCTCAAGGTTGAAGAGCAGGCCTGAGAGACAGTAAAAGTTGGGAAGGTTCTTTCCAATAAACTTTCCCAAATGCTCACTACCAAAAAAGTTTAAAAAGTGCAAAACCAAACATCATAAATAAGCAAGTGACAAGGCAGGTTGCAGAGCAGAATTTACAAATAATTTCAATTTTATAAAAATAAATATATTACCACCTGAATCATATGATAAAGGACTAAGGAATATTTTATCATGTGTGAGGGTGTGTAAATATACCTGTGGCACCTTTTGCAGAAAGAACTGTGTAAACTGTGCCCCATTGTTCGGTGAGGGGGGAGCAGGGAGCAGAGTTCATGGCAGAGAAAGATATTTTGCCCTTTCTGGCCCCTCAGACTGGAAAACTCCACCCTCAGATATTCTCCAGGTATGCTTGCTGTTTATCTGGGGCACAGACCCAGCACCACACCTGTGAGAGATCTCCTGGATCAGCTGCTCCTGACCAGCACCCCATCCAGCTTCTTCTATTCTGCTTGTCCTTTCCCTAGCTCTTCCCACTTACCGACATTCTGTTACATTTCCATTTGTTTTATTTATCCAGGAGAGTAGACTTTGTTCTTCCTTATGATTGTATTCTCATTCCTTAAATATGACCGGGGACATAGGTAGGTGCTGAATAAATCGACTGAATGACTAAAATGTAACAAAGGTGTCCATTCTTCTCTGTTCCCAGATCAGGGTGTCTTGCCTAGGCAAACTCTAAAGTTCAAGGACAGCTCTCCCCACTCCCAACAGAGCTCCAGAGGTCACCTTAGAGCAGTGGTCGGCAAACTCATTAGTCAACAGAGCCAAATATCAACAGCACAACGATTGAAATTCTTTTGAGAGCCACATTTTTTAAACTTAAACTATATAGGTAGGTACATTGTTATTAACTTAATTAGGCTACTCCTAAGCTGGCCTTGGCTACAAACTCAAGGGGCCAAAGAGCCGCATGTGGCTTGCGAGCTACAGTTTGCCAACCACTGCCTTAGAGCATCAGCTTCCAAATCTTTTTTGATCATGACCCTGAGGAAGAAATACATTCAATCACCAGAGCTCATACATGTATATGTACTATATTGAATTGCAACAAACGAAAAACTCTTACTTCGAACAATATTTTATATTTTTTCCTTTTTTTCCTAATTTGTATGACATTGGTCTCTACCCCTTGAGTTGATTTTGCCACCTACTAAAGGGTGGCCAGTGCCATGTCTGTGGGAATAGTCAGAGGTCTCATTTGGGTCTTAGTTTCAGTATAACTGCTACAAATGCAGATTCCCGGTCCACCCCAGACTTAGTGAATGAGAGAGAGTCTTACTGGAAAGTCTACACGCTTCACAACACCTCACCCCAACCATCCCAGTTGATTCTGAAGCCTGATAAATCTTGAGAGTCACCAGAGTTTATGAGTGTCTCGAGGCCTCTTGTGGGGACATGTGTTGGGCAGAGCCTGATGCACTTTAAGGGAAGGGGCTGATTTTCCAGTTCTGGTTCAACTCAGCCCCTGAATGGTGGAACTGATGATTCCAAAGTTATAAAAGTAAACATATTCCCACACAAGCCCCTTGCACTCTCTAGTCCCTCTGCCTAGAAGAATTTCTGGTGATTTGGCTGTTTTCCCAACTCCAGCCCTCCCAGAGCCACACCAATGAAGAGGCCCCACTTTTCCCCAGAACCTTAACCCCTTCTTCCTCTTCTTTCTCTCCACAGTTTCTTTTCCCATCACACAAAATCACCTTGTGTTTTTTTTTTTTGTGGTTTTTTTGTTTGTTTGTTTGTGTGTGTGTGTGTGTGTGTGTGTGTTTCTTACCATAAGGGTTAACAGCCCTCCCCATCCCAGCTCTTAGAACAAAAAAAATTCTAACCACAGTCCAAATGATGGTGGCCCATTTCCTTCCCCACCCCTGAAGAGGGTAAATGCTGTTATGTCTTCACCCACCCATTGGGATTGCATTAGAAACTTTGATGCCAAGAATGTTGCACCCTCCCACCGAAGAGTGTCACAGAATTTACGTTAGGAAAACCTGCTACAAGTATTTTTTCATTTATTGAAGAGAGAGAGAGAGAGAGAGAGAGAGAGAGAGAGAGAGAGAGAGAGAGATGCCCTGACCATGGATCAAACCCACAACCTTGGCATATTGGGATGATGCTCTAACCAACTGAGCTACCCGGCCAGGACCCAAGTATATTTATTGACTCCCACACCTACAATAAAACATTTATTAGCCCCTAAGTGTATGACATATACCCTAGCTAACAGTTCTTTGTAGACATGATCTCATATAACTCTGAAAGAAGCCCTCAGAAACAGAGTCTATTCTCACCACCATTTTAGCAATGAGGAAACAAGGCATGCTGGATTACATAATCTGACCAAGGTCTCATAAGAGGCATAGCTCTGGAGCTGGAAGCTGCCTTACCCCTAGGCTTCTCTTCCATTTGTGTAGTAGCTGCTAGAGGTGCCTCAGAGTAGAGGTAGGTGCCTGAATCCCAACATGCGCAGAAGGTAGTGATGTTTCTCTTTCCGATTTTGCTCTCAGTTTCCAGT